CCATTAATATGAATTTCACTTAAACCATTAATAACAGTCACTCCCTATAATATTTCAAAAATAACCAATCAAATATTTTGGGCTCAAATTTAGAAAGGTAGCAGTTTGTAAAGGCATTCTAGCATAATTGCCAATTTAATATGTATAGAAAAAAAAAACTCTTATAAAAACTCAAGAATACGGAATTATCACAATTTATGGAATATCAATTCACAAATAAACATTTCACAACAATACTATAATCAATTGCAAAAATGTCAATTTTTAAATAATAAGGCAGTCATTTGCACATGAATTTTACAATGTCTAAATATTCAAAACAGTAGAAAGAAATATCACAATTTTACTAAAAGCAGAAATATCACATTTATTTCTAACAATAGACAAGAAAAATAAATAAATTTATTTTTCTAATTTACATCATTCAAAATTTCTAACATAGGTAAAATATCACAATTTTTATTAAAAAGATTATTTTTCAAGATAATGAGGTCACGTGCGCATAAAATTTATCGCGCCTAAAATTCATGATAATAAGCAAAAATAATTATTTCATTTTATTTTTTAAAAAAATAGATTATTTTTCCAGACAATGAGGTCACTTACACACAAAACTGATAAAATAAAGATCCTAGACGGAAATATCACTATTTATTAAAAATAGACTATTTTTCAGAAAGACGATATCACTTACCCACAATTATTTGAGAGGGAGCTTCCGATAAAAGAATTCGGTTCGAGAGAGAAGTTCACTGTGTTTCGACCAGAGAGAGATCTCAAAGTTTTGTTTTAAGGTGGGAGTGCTCACATCCCCTATTTAAATTCTTATAACGTATTATTATATTGTTTTATTACGCTCTACCTCATACCTGAGGTGTCGCGTTAAAAGCAGACTTTTATCGTACGAAAACCACGTCCGCTAAAGGACGTTGCCAGCTGCAAGCAGCAGGAGGCAAAAGCAGGCAAAAGAAAAAAAGTAAAGGCAAAGGCAAATCTTTTGAAAATAGTGATGGTCCTCAAGGACCATCATATTCGAACAGAACATCACCTATTTAAAAGCATATTTTCTCCTTTTTTTTTTTTTTTTTTGAAATTTTAGGATTGTTACATCCCGGTACTGGAACAGACTTTAAAATAAGACCAATAAAAAGATTAATAGTGATTGAATGTCAAATTCAACAACTTGGATGTGCCGCATAATTTAAAAAAATTTATTGAGTTTATGCCTAATCAATCATGAAACACCCCCCCCCCCCCTTCCCCCCCAGCAATCTAATTTCACTTGTAATTTCACATCCTTGTGTTGAAAATAATCTAATATCACATCATTCACCCTTAGCAATATATTACATACTTTTCTTAAATTATCTGATGATAATATATTTTGTAATATGAATACAGTTTCTATAATGCCTAGGCTTTATGAAAGAAAAAGAAAGCCTCACGTCAAATACTCGTCTCAAAGCACTTTGAGCATCAGAAATACTCATGATGGCTTTAAAATCAATTTTCAACATTGATTATGAAATTTGAAGTTTAAAAAAGATTTAGATCTTGCATATTCGCTAACGCGTATTTTTAAAGCGAAATGGACTGTCTAGATAGTTTTATCTAGATATACATTATTTTTAGGGATGGAATCCTAAGTTTTTTTCATACCTATAATGGTCAAACTGAGATGGTCGATTTAAAGGTTTTTAGCTTTTTTTTACGCCAGAATTATAATTTTCGATGAGTTTGGAGGTGAGGCTTTACTTTATTTTGATAAAGTTGTAGCCATATCAAACGAATTTCTTTGTGATATTGACGAAGAAACGATGAGTTGTGGAGATCAATTGTTTGTTATGGTCAAACATTGTTGTGGAGATCAATTGTTTGTTACGGTGTTTTAAAACTTACCGATCCGGTTCTATCATAGAAGTTCAGCTAGCCATTTAATCTTTTTTTTTCATTTGTTTCAAATGTGAATTTTTTTTTAGAAGGCAGGGTCTTCTAAGCTTTTATTTTAAATTTGTATTTCAAATTTGTAATTACAAATTACAAATTACAAATTTATAATTACAAATTGTATTTAAAATTGAAATACAATTTCAAATTTGTATTTCAATTTAAAGGCCCTCTAATGTGGTGGTCCATCCATCTCCATGAGTGGGTCATACACCCCAATTGCTCACCCATGGGCCTTTTCTAGAGTATTAGAATTTGTGAGAGTACACAAATATTGAATAGAGAGAAAAGTTAAAATTTGTGGGAGTACACAAATATTGAATAGAGAGAAAAGAAAAAAACACAATATTTACGTGGTTTAGGTCGGCTGCATCTTCATTATTTTGGATGAATGTTTACATCAATAAGTTCATCTATACATAGAGGACAATCACACAATTACATGAGATAAATATGAGAACAATCACATAATTACATGAGATAAATATGGTATGATAACTTGATGACCAAGTAACTTGGTCTCTACTTTTTAGATACCTAACCTTATCAAGAGATGTCTATCTCAAACTCAAGATGTTTTGACACAAAGCATCTAGAGTTTGAATAATACTAAGTTACCAAAAAAAACTAGTGATTAAATCCATGATAAATTTTACATGTTACCATGGTCTTTCAATAAACAACCTTTTTTGGACTCTCTACTTTCTTATAAAGACTTTATCTCTTTAAGGTATTGGGTCTTCCAAAAAAGAACCTTGATTGGGCTCTCTACTTTCTTCTAGAGACTTTATCTCTTTAGGGTCTTCTTCTTTAAAGATCTTCTCTACTTTCTTCTAGAGACTTTATCTCTCTAGGGTCTTCTTCTTTGAAGATCTTCTCTCTTAGAGGTTGCTCTTTACTTTCTTCTAGAGACTTTATCTCTTTAGGGTCTTCTTCTTTGAAGATCTTCTCTCTTAGAGGTTTCTATTCTCTCCCTAGGGTCTTCTTCTTTGAAGATCTCTCTCTTAGAGGTTTCTATTCTCTCCCTAGGGTCTTCTTCTTTGAAGATCTTCTCTCTTAGAGGCTTCTATTCTCTCCCTAAAGTCTTTTTCTTTGAAGATCTAAAGGCTTTCTCTCTCTAAAAGAAAATGATCATTAGTTTTCCTCTATGAAGATCTTCTCTCTCAAAGGTTTCTTTTCTTTCTAGAGGCACACAAGATGGAGTAACGGAAGACTCCATTATCAAACAGGATCAAGTGAAAACTTGATCATCAACCATGATCGAGAAATTCGATCATGTTCATCTCCTCATCTGGAAACGGAACTCATTCGATCATTTAAATCTCTTCATCTGGAAACGGAACTCATTCGATCATCTAAATCTCCTCATCTGGAAACGGAACTCATTCGATCATCTAAATCTCCTCATCTAGAAACAGAACTCATTTGATGATCTTCATCTCATCATCTGGAGACGGAACTCTTGAATCAATATGACCATAACTTTCCTTTACAAAGTAGTTGGACTGAGCCAAAATCTGGATTTTCTTGTCCAGATCGCGGTTACATTAAAGATGTTGAATTCATCTCTGCTCATCTCATTTCATCTCCATATCTCCTATTCTCTACTCTCCCCCTCAAGTTGGGTCTGGATGCGAAGCAACATCCCACTTTCAAAATACAATTTTTTTTTCTTTTCTAGTACCATCATATAAAAAAAAAATGCCAATAAAATTAAGCTTTTAGCACATCTTAAAAAAAATAAGACCCATTTTTTATCTTCTCTACTTCTTCAATTTTTTTTTTGGAAACAACCCCAAAACGAAGAGATTTTAGAATAGCACCAAACCCGTGAACGCAATAAATTTTGCTCAAGGATTCTACTCAATCCTCTTAACCTTCTCCCTCTTCATGCAGGAATCGTGGTAATAGTACCTTGATACCCATGACGGTGAAGCAGATAAGCCAAGTATCATCATATGATAATTCTAGCATTGCGTGTTGAAGCTCTGAAATCAAACAATGTTAAGTTGGTTGGAATGGGGCTCATAAAGTGGAAATGTTCACGAATGTGCAATTCATCCTCGATGATGGTACTAGAAGAATCGATGTACATAGATGGGTCAATGATGCTACATACAGTAATGAGATGCCCATAGTAAAGAATGAAATATATGTTTGTGTCATTGGTCACTTGAAAAGTTTTCAGGGTAAAAAGCATGCTCCAGCTTTCTCAGTTAGACCTATTACGGACTTCAATGAAATTACGTGCCACTTCTTGGAATGCATATATGTACATCTAACCAACACTAAACAGATGGGTGGGTCTCCACAGCCTCAAAAAAGTTCGGTGACCACAGCAATGGACCCATGGGAAATAGCACTCTTGCTAAGCATACCCAATTTACTGGACATCCGGCCCTAGTTGGATCTAAAGAAGATATCAACACCAGCCCTAGTTGGATCTGAAGAAGATATCAACACCAGCGTTAAGAAGGTTTGGATCTGAAGAGGATATCAACCTTGCTCTAATGCTATGTTAGAATTTGTGGGAGCTCACAAATATTGAATGAAGAGAAAAAAAAAGAAGTGTTAGAATTTGTGGGAGTACACAAATATTGAATGAAGAGAAAAAAAAATAAGAGTTAGAATTTGTGGGAGCACACAAATATTGAATTGAGAGAAAAGAAAAGAACACAACATATACGTGGTTCAGGCCGAAGCCTTAAATGAAGAGAAAAGAAAAAAAGAGTTAGAATTTGTAGGAGCACACAAATATTAAATGGAGAGATTAAATGAAGAGAAAAGAAAAAAAGAGTTAGAATTTGTAGGAGCACAAAAATATTGAAAAGAGAGAAAAAAAAAAAGAAGAAAGAAAAAAAAAAGAAGAACACGACATCAGGTCGAAGCGTTATGTTATTTTGAATGAATGTTTACATCAATAAGTTCCTCTATATACAGAGGAGGATTATACAATACATGAGATAAATAACATATCCAAATCCCAATCGGCTATATCTTCATTATTTTGGATGAATATTTACATCAATAAGTTCCTATATATATATATAAGACATACAATTACATGAGATAAATATGGTATGATAACTTGATGACCGAGTAACTACTTGGTCTCTACCTTCTAGATACCTAACCTTATCAAGAGATATATACATATACATTCATAATGATGTATATCTTCTAGATACCTAACCTTAATGATGTATATCTTCTAGATACCTAACCTTATCAAGAGATATGTACATATACATTCAAAATGATGTATATCAATATGAACCTGAGATATCCATATACATTCATAATGATGTATATCAATATGAACCTGAGATATCTATATCCTAACATAGAGGCCCGGCCCCTATGATCCCGTTCAAGTCGACCTTTTACAACAAGAATTGGGTACATCTTTAACCTTTTAAAACTATTAATACAGAGAGAGCAAGCGAATTAGGTAAGATGTCGGAGTAAATCAAAGGGGCTTTAACCTTAGGTTTTTTTAAAAATAAAATCACATCAATGACTCTCGAATAATTGCTCTTTCTCTCTATTGATCTTTATATGCTGAGAGCGAGAGGGCGTGTGAGTTTGATCCCGTTATCATTTGATAAAGTTATCAATTAACAGAAAAACTCTACTAATTAGACAATGTGATAAATAAATAACTTATTATTAATAATAACTTGCGATAATAATAATAAATCTTTTTTCTTTTTATTTTGAAGCCATCCATTTTTAAGTTTTACCATGAATGTATTATGCCTTAAATAATACATCATCACCTTATCAATGTATTGTTCAATAAACAATTGACATAAAACACATTATTTTTGTTAAAAGAGGGCTCCTAACTCTCTCTCTCTCTCTCTCTCTCTCTACTCTCCACCTCGTTGAGTGCTAAACCCAATCAATTCCATTATCCAAGTCTTCTATCTATACATTACATAAGCAATCTTCATCTTGTAAAAGTTGTTACTTTTAGAGGTTGTTTGACTCTCTGGAATTTTTAATCCTGAGAAAAGTATATCCTGGAATTGGTATTTACCAGAATTGGCATTTCCTATAATATGGGTGTATGTTGTTTGGATTGCATGTCATAGATACCAAGAAAATGAAAATTCTATTTGGATTGCTTAAAATATGTTTTTATTAGAAATTTCAATTTTTTTATAAGTTACTATTATTCCAAAAAAATTATCCATTTCCAATGTTGTGATTATCGAATCCTTTTTTCTAGTATTTGTCCAAGTGAGGCCACATTTCAAAATTACCGAACTTGTAATGTCATTTATAATAACACCCAAAATTCGACATGATATATTACTCGTAAAGATGTATTTTATGGTAAAGCAACAAAGTGTGTGTGATGCGTTTGAATTTCATTTTATTGTGCTCTTGGATGACATTGCTGTAACCTTTCACCAAGATGAATGCAAGAGATTGAGGAGAGAGAAAGCCAAAAATACTTTGGGAAGCAGCTACATGATTTTCTTTATTATCAAAATTGCACAAAAAAAACCATCTTCATTATGTCGAGTTTTGGGATCATATAGGACTGAAAGTTCAGATTTAAAGGTTCTACACCAATTTCCTTCTTGTTGTTCATATTTGTAGTGGCATGACATTGCACTTGACTACTGATTCACTCACCATATGCTGATTGAGTTAATTATTAAGGGCATCAACTGGGACAGAGAATCAATAAAGCACAGAGAAGATGGGGCATAAACCATTGCAGAAACAATGCAATGATCAAGGGAGAGAATCAAGAGCCACCATTGCAGAGAGAAAGCAATGATGAAGGGAGAGAATCAAGAGCCAGAGTGAAATTAGGGCTAAACCTTATAAGATTTCTTGAGATCGACAGAGTAATTGGAGTGCTACAGGCAAGGGCGAGACATGCAGAGAGCTTCAACGTGCATGGCAATTGGGTATCAAGGAGGGGAGAGGGCATTTCATAGAGGGAGAGAGAGCAATTGGGTTTCAAAGCGGGCGACTGGTTTCAGAGAGGGCGAGAAGGAAACAGGTTTCAAAGAAGGCATAAAAGCGACTGGTTTCAGAGAGGGGTTAGGGTTTCAAACGGGTAAAGAAGCAGTGCCTGGCATGTGACTTAGTACCGAACTTGTGTACGTTACTAGTCCAAATCAATGATTTAAAAATCGAGTCAGCAAGGAATCGTATAACCGGAAATCAGCCGAGACATAGGCGATTTCAACCGATAAGGGTAAGTTTTTGAATTTTTTAAAAAGTCGGAGGCATATTTGTTGTCAGTATGATTTCAATATAATTATTTAAAAAGTTGGATGATTTCAATATAATTATTTTTATATACATTAAATTATTTTTAAATTATATGAAAGATTTTTCCAATATTTTTAAAACTCTATTAAGCTGTTATCTCATGTGATTATTTCATTAGATGATTAATAGTTAATTAAAATGTTAATTGAGATTAAAAATTAGTACTAGCTCATAGGATATTAAAAAACAAAAAATAATACTAATTTCAATTTATTGAATATTAAAAAATATTAGTTTAGAGGATATTTTAAGAGAGAAAAATAACACTAACTTATACCACTTTAGAATTTATTTCTACATTGATAACCAAATATTTTATTTTATTTATTTTAATTTATTTACATTATAAATTATGTGATGTACTATTTTTTCTTACAGTTGTCAATAATACATTTTAAATTAAATGATATTATAAGATATTTTGGATTTGTTATTTTTTGTATAATAAAATGATTATAAAATGTAAACCAACAATTTCAATTTCAGTATATAATATTATAGTTAGTTATGTTGTAATAATTTTGGATTATAGTTAATTAGGTTGTAATAATTTGTGTTTTTTTTTAGCGGATTAGGGTTTTCCACCAATTTGATATTTTGGTGGCCATTTTTTCATCGATTTAATCAATTATTTATTGTAGTCTATGTATGATTATATACTTCATCCATGATAATTCTATGATTTTTCTTTTGTATGAGGTAAATTTAATGATTAACATAAGTTCATATAGGGAAAACACATCTCAATATTCGTACATTGATGAAAAAATGAAAGTTAATAATGTAGTACCCCAATTTTTTATTGGATTATTAAAAAAACAATATTTATAATGAATTTTAGAAATTTTTTTGGATTTTTTTAAAGCATAATCCGATTGGTTTGGCCGATTCCCGATCCATATCGTCGATTCATTGATCTAGATGGATTTTTGGGATTCCCGATCTGAGGCACCGATCCGTTTTTAAACCACTGCTCCAAATGATCATTGGTACCTTGCGTATTGAAGTGCGTTCATTTTCAAAAACTTCAAGAACATTATTAAGTATTTCATGTTGGCTCCCAGAACCACTTTTTTCCGATAAACTCTTCACTCCCAAACCTCAAGTGAAATATTTTTGTTATGGCTTCAGTGAGTTTTCCATTATTCATTTCCATTATGCAACAACTGCCTCAAATGGAACGCTGAAGGTTTGGACTGTAGGGAAGAGTTAGAATTTTAAAGGTCACCTAGATGGGATCTAGTTGGCTATCAAATGTATGTACTTCTGAGGGATCAAAGAATCAAGGCACCGATTTGGGATTGTTAAAGGATTCCACTAAACAAGAAATGGACCCTAAATATTTAGAATGATGAATGAAAGATAATAATAAAATATGATTGAGCTTGTTACTTTCTTCTCTATCAGTTGATCTCCTCACTGAATTGATTCACCGGAAGATATCTCAATAAAGTGGGAGACCCTCTATAATACATATAAAAAACAAATATTTACCAATGTTCTCTAACTCAAGACTTAACTGATCAACTTATGTATGGGCTCTCAATCAGTAATTGAATATTTGAACAAGTTCAAAACTATATGTGACGATCTTGCAATAATTAATACTCCAGTAAATGATCAAGATAGGGTCATGTATACACTCAAGGGTCTTTTTCCAGAATTTAAGTCTTTTGAGACATCTCTCACAACCAAATTTCCCTTTATATTATTTTATCAGCTTTGATCCTCCCTTCTCATATATGAAGCTTGATTAATATCTCTACTAATTGTTGAGAAAAATCCTCAAGATCGTATCAATATATCTTTATGATATAGAGTTGGATATGATCAAGGATGTAGCCATTATGGAGGTAGAGGAGGGAGAGGCTGCAATGAAAATCAGCAAGTCATACCTTATCACCGACCTCAACAGCCAAGGGTGGGTATGCATACTCATGTCACCTATCAATAGCGTGGATGGACACATTGCTAAAAATTATAGGAATATAAAAAATGTTTTATCCTCTAGTGCATGACTTAAGCAAACTATTGGTCACCACACCAATTGATAGTTCGTAGTTCGTGGATACTGGTGCAACTACTCCATGACGGATGACAACTCTC